CCTTGTTCAATATAACATTCATTTACAAACACATTCCTGTATGTTCTGTTTAGATCAATACATGTGAAGTGATGTGTATTCTGGGAATATTGAAGAATGATGTTTAGATCTCATATGCTTTTATAAATACTTATAATTATTTAATTTGTGCATGTATGGTACAACTGCCTGTTCTTTACTATAGAATGATGACACCAAAAGAACTTTATCATAAACATTCTTACTAAGCTGAGGGATAATCACTGTACTGTTCACATGTACAAGACCATGGGAGTACTGCACTAAATACACTTTTTACGTCTTGATACCACATGTCCAAAACATACTAATTTCATGTAATGCATTGACCTCTGACCTTTTGATGGATCTCTTCTGATTTCTAGTAATGCCTTGATTGCCGAAGAGGCAGACTTCTCTGAGTAAGTGGACCCTGTAGAGGTTGTTGCCTGGGTTACTGTTTCCATGGGTACATCATATTCTACCCACTGGTTGCCATTGGTTATGGCGGCAACCGCAGCCTCCAAAATATCAGTGTGTTTAGGTTCAGCTGAAATTATGATCACATTATAGTATAAGATTGGATAAATTTCCAACTGAAAAAAATTTATATTTTTTTAGGAAATCCCTGGACAGTGTTCTCCCCAGGATGTAAACAGCGTGGCGGTCCCGCCACAGTGCTTCGATTTGCCGCCACACGGGTCTGACACCGCCACGGTGATTAGCAAGACCGCCACAGTGCTTCTTTTCATTGGGGGGATCTCGTCACGCTGGTCGGCCTGACCGGCACTCAAAATTAGCGACCACCGCGGACACGCTTCCGACTATTGTCATATTGTTATTATACTTACGTACCGAACTACACGCATCCTGCCAGTCGTGGATAATAATTTGTAAACAATAGACATAGTCACATGATGTGTGATTTTGTAAAATTAGCACCTCATTGTTTGTAAGTAAATACTTTCTGACGATAGACGCAGTCTTTAGTTTGAAAGCTAAAATTCTTTCAATTATGATCTCGATCATTCGGAAAACTTGGGGTTCTACCGGCATTACCATGCGACATTTTGATTGGTAAATGGCGTTTTTGACCCAACGGGTCAAAGGACACATGCCGGTCAACTAATGCGTCATAACTATCATGGCGGGTCTGTGTTTTTCACCGAAGTGATCAAAAATAATTTCTCTCGATAAAAATAGCTCAAATTTTACGTTTTTTTATATAAAAAAAGAAGTATTTAATTTTTGCATGGCATCATGACTGAGTAAGAGAAATTATTGGTATAGCCGGTGTATACCGGTAACATCGCGAAGTAAGTTATGTCACGCCGTAACTTTGATCGTTTGGAAGTGTTATTTGTTCGTTCATTTACTGTAAATGTAAACGTTAGAAGCTGAAGAATAACCAACAATCCGCCAAATAACTACATGGTCGATATTTTGAAGGAGAATTTTGTAGTAAATAAGATCATGAAAGTGGTGAACATAATCCTGGCTCAAACGTTTCAAATGAGTTTCATTTAACCTTTTACAATTTTTTTGTTTTTTTTAGTCTGCAGCATTTGCATTTCGAGAATGTTTCATTTTTAAATTCAAACACTTCTAAATTGTGAAACGTAATATTTTGACTCCAAAAAAAAAATATTTTCCCTGTGACGGTGCTCATTAATATTGCTAAAGTGCCCAAAATAAAGCAATGCCACTTTGCTCCCTAAAACTAAAATTAGTGGAGGAAAAAAAAATTAGGGTACAAAAAATCCCCTACCTTTCACATCGCTGTGACCTGACCCCACAGAGCTTGTATCATCCATAGCTGGTGAAATATGACCAGTCACACTAGTAGGGGGAAATAACCTTTGACCTGATGAGGAATCCTCTGCATGGTGCACATGTTCAGCTAATACTGGTGATCCAGATCTTCTTTCTACCTGCTCAGCTATAGCAGCTTGCATTCCTAATGGTTTGGGTCTGATGACTAACTGCTATATTTCAACACAACAGTAATCAACAGTAGTGTTAGTAGGTTATTTTCTGTTCAACTGCGAGATCTCGCGAGTTGCATGAAAGACACACACTGAACGTCTGCCGTAAAAATCGAACGATTTGATTTTGAACTTGAATTTCTTTATTTCGTAGCTCACACCGAAAAGCCGATCTTTGACAGGAAAATATTCCATTTGAATATCCTTACTCCATCAAAATTGACTATCATCAAATGTGTACAGCACATTATTAAGCATGGAAATATCCCCCAAACTACTTTTGCATTTGTCAAATCCTACAGGATGTTTGTCACCACTACGTCACTATTTTTCTCCTATCTTTAAGTTTGATATCATGCATAACACAGGATCTTGCAGTGAAGAAAAATGGTCTATTCAGAAAAGATGAAAACTATTTGTTTATACCAAGAAGATACATCAAGGTTGTAAATATGAGCAATTTCATCAGTGCACCTTGATAGGTACATGTAAATATTATATTCACACTGTATATTTTGGAATTTTAAGATGAACAAAAGAAAAAAAATCAGGTATTTTTTGCACTGTAAGATGCAAACTAACCTGTGTTTTTGTTTTACTGCCCGGCAATGAATGTCCCGGATGTATTGTTGATATCACTTTACTCTGGTTGCCACCACTGGTCACTATAATAGTCTTAGTTGATTCCTGAAAAATACAACCATCAATCATAATCCTGTCTTAGCGCCATGATGTAGAATAGAGTTGTTACAAGTAGAGAAGCAGGAAGGATTGACAGAAACACAGTTTTTTGACTATGATAACATCAATACTAATCCAGGGTCCTGCTTACTGATACATCTCCTAGTGCAGTCAAAAAATGCTAGGATTGAAAACCATAGAGATTTCTCACCTGAGAAGATTTCTGTATAGATGTAATAGGTGTAGACTTTGTTACGGACACTGTCTTAGTTGGTGCTTTCTGTACAATAATAACATTAGACTTGCCAGCAGAGGCAGGGTGGTAGGGTTTGGTCATCACAACTAGATAATACACAGATTTGTTTAGACACAACTAGTCAAACCACACACTTTTTAATCTTAGAGATCTTGTAATGTTTTAACTTTAGAACAAGTTAGATGTATAAATCTGTAATACCACTAGATTTTAAATTCTCAGAGCATCGATGCTTTTGCACTTGCACATTGAATACTTGTTTACTCAAACATTTTCGACTTGAAATCATTCACACAATAAATTCTGAAGTTAAAATCTGTTTTATACACTCAGTAAGTTACAATTCAACTTGACTGTGTTTTGGAGTGTATCATACTTTTAACATATGTTTATGATACTACAATACATGTTCTTTAAGTATTACATCATCGGAAAGTGACCAGTTATCATAACGGCCAGTTCTGTTATGCGACAACCAAGTAGGAAAATTGGTAGGCCATTATAACAGTCATTATTAAATTACATACCAGGTAGTACACAAAGTAGTACATGTATTATCATGGACCCTACACCGTTTTCAAATGGTTAAACACTATTGGACACTAAATATTTTTATGTTGTAATTTTTGACAGCATACTCACTCACCTGTGGCTGATTTGGCACTTGGAGACTGTAATGACTTTGGTGTTACAGTAATGATACTGCCAGCACTGAGTGACGACCTAGAACTAGGCAGTGACGGTGTTGTGGATATTCGAGTGCTGCTCGACGAATTGATTACAACCTGGTTACTGTGACTACCTGTTAAATGATGCAATGGTAATTCATTTAAATCCATCATTAAATGCTCTTTAAAATGCCATGCATGGCACAGTCATAGTTAGTTATCAAACTTAAGATATATAGTTTTGTTAATAGTAATATAGTTGGAACATAAACATGTCAGAGATATAGATCCAGAAGGTTATGCTTGATTTTGATGATTCTTCAGTACAAAAATGGCCGACTGGCAGCCATCTTGAATCAGATCATGAAACAAATTGATGTACGTATGTATAATATTATGTATGTGTGAAGTTTAAATGTAATCAACCCAGGCATGTCTAAGATATAGGTCCGAGAGATTAAAAATCTTAGAAGACTGAATGGGATTTTGAAGGCTTGTCGATATGCAGAATGGTACATGTACATACAACATAGAGACTGACTGAATCATATAGGAATAGAAAGAGTTGTAGCAATGATAACTAACCTGCAATATTTGTAATAGGCTTGGTTGTCATGACTACAGTTGTTGGTACAGTCGTGGTAACCATGACAATAGGCGTTCCTGTAGTTGAGCCAATTGTGATCGGTTTTGGTAATATCTTGTTACCAGGAACAGTCTGTGTGATTATTTTAACACCTGCAACATAACAAAATTATATCAAAATGTACGACTAAAAACAGGAAAATGAGCAGATACACATTGTGTATGAGAACTGATACACATTGTATTACTGATAGCAAGACATCCAACTCCATCTAGTATCCTGGTCCAATCCCAAATGAACTATCACCAAATGTTACAATCTGGAATACCTTAAATATCTAACCCAAATATTTTCTTTGAGAAAATTAGTGTCACACATTTTGAAGTCAATGCATTACGAGTAGTAATCGACTCCATGGCATGCAGTGTGTTAAATTGATACATGTATTACATATTTCCTGTTATTTGCGCATATATTTAGAGCATCAAACATTTCACATAATAGTCAAAAGACCCCCAGTACACATCTTATGGTACATCTTTAACAGCAGAACTTAGTCACCATGTTCTTGTACAATCTGTATTGATGGTTTGGTTGTGGTACAGCTGCTTGTGGTCATCACTTTCGGCATGGTTGCTGGCGACACTGCAGTACTAGAAGCAATCACTGAGGCAGCAGTAGCTAGTACAGACGAGGCATTGGTAGTGATCAGTTTCATTTTCTGACGGTGCATGGTTTTCGGCCTGGGTTTAGCAGAGCTAACGGTATTGGATATAAAAGCTGTTGTTGCCGTGCCAACTACACACACTGTAAAGCAAACATTTCAACATCATCAGAAGCCACCAATAAAATACAAGATGCTGGTCATGTGACCTAATGTGCTCCCGTCAATACAAAAGCAATCACGTTTTCAACACATCACAGCTATACTTACTGAATGAGATGTGATTTGACAATTTTGTACAGGTGTTACGTGTAAAGACAAAATTGCTAAACAAATTGACACAGAGGGCACTGCCCCAAACTATGATATTATACATATTACATGGCATTGATTGGCTGACAGTTTCAGGTACAGAGAAGGTGTATAGACAAAATGACTCACAGTCGTCAATGTTCTTACCAGGTGTGGTTGACGGCATCAACCCTGTGTTGGTTGGGGTGACTGTTACGATACTCGGTCCACCACTTGTGGTTGATGCTGTGGTGTTGAATATGATAGAGGGTCTGCTTGTCGCTGTTGAAGTTGTGAATGTTCTGGTTCCGATGCTACTTTGAGTTCTCTGAAGGATATTTGGTGTAAATGTGGATGAGCTGGATACAATAATAACCTGTAAATTACAACAAGCATGAGACTATGGAACTTGACTCTATTTCCGAGTTATGTCAATCTTTTAAACATTTATGAAGAAGGATGAATATGACACATAATATCTGTACTTAGAACTGAATCCCATGAAAGCTCAATACAGACGATTATTTTGTGTTTCACTGTAGCACAAGTACAATTATCTTTTGAAAAATAATTCAAAATATGTAGATGGATGTATGAAATATTTAACAAAAATTAAAAAAGAAAAACATTCATTGACAACCACAGAATAACCCAATATCTATTCTGTGAAGGTCCATTTACGTCAGAGAAGCGCTTTGTCGTGACAGATATGGAATGGCATAATAGATGGGTTCAACACAAAACCAGTGACTTTGCTACACTGTTTTGGTGTGCAAATCCATCTGCAGATGGAACACCATGTGACTGTGACAATACCTTTTGTGCCGGCGTCAGAGTTGACATGCTGGAAGAACTCGCCTTGGTGAATGTGATTTTAACCGGAGAAAGACCTGTACCACTAGTACTTGTCATATATGTAGTTATTTTGGGGTTGGTGATTGGCAGCACAGTAGTCCTAGGGGTAGCCACAATGGATGTGGGGGGTGTGGTGGTTACAGTACTGATAGGCACTTCTTTACTACTGCTACAATTGGAACTCACAGAATTGGATCGTCTTCGTTTCCTAGATTTCTCATCAACATCGGGTTCACCTAGAAGGAAAACACGTCATAAATATCAATACACAAGTCGTATATCAGCTGAAGTTGCAATCACTTTTACATGTGTAATGTTTGGACTGAACAGTGCAGGCACGAAAAATCCCTAGTCCCAAGTGACGATAGAAATAGATGCTAGAAACTCCATGGCCATCTACCATATGCACAGGTGATGACTGTCCAGTTTAGCAGTAGTTACATAAAACGAGAATGCTTTACCAAGAAAAAATACCACATCATTAATTGCGGTATGAGGTATGAAAATAAGGATTACTGAAATTTGGTTGAAGTGCCTGTGAAAAACTATTTGAACATGTTTTGAAAGTCTAACTGTCAAACAGACTGGTTTTGGGATTCATGACTCCTGGGTCATTGTTCTGAGTAAACCACACAACTACTTGCATATATACAAAAGCACATGGAGACGACAACACACAAATGCAGCCAATAATGTACGTACAAAGCTACATAAACAGACATTTTTGAGTCATTTTCTTAAATCGAATTTACCCACGACATAAATGCAACTAAAGGTGTGGGCCAGGAATAATTAATGAATCGCTTTGAGACAAGGCTTAGATTATACCCTTTCCTCTGTAAACCAAAGAAAACATGCAAAATAGAAGACGAGTATGGCCACCATTTTAAAAGGTTAATGATAAGTTCATCGGCACCATACATAAGTGCATTCAATGACCTGATATCTGAATGCGCGTTTTTATTGGTCAGACATTTGATCCTGTGTGAAATTTGGTGCAAGCTTGTTGCATAGATTTCTAATTGGATTTATCAAACTTTAAACACAATTGGGTTCACAGGAAGGCTAAAATTCATTCTTGATGTTTCTAAACATTATTTTATTTTCAATTACACAAGCCAAAGCCACTTGGAAAACTTTGATCCTAGTACATGTATGTGCTTATGCAGTTCAATGCTGTCAGTAGACAAAAAGTTCAGAATAAATTTACAAGAAATTTAAAAGGACCAGTTTTCACAACTACAAATTTTTATGGTATTACATGCATATTACTTGCATGGCTTTCTCCCTCTGTCAGACGTTTGGTGGTGCAGTTTCACTTCCTAATAAAGTTGGAAGGCTGAAACAGTCAACTGCTGTAAGAAGGGGCATAACTACAACACAGAATCTTACTCTTACAACTCAAATATGATTAATTCTTCACATTTATTTTTCCCCACAAATGTCCATTTCATGGCAACAGAAACATAAATGTGTTCACGGGCATTTCACAGAATAGTATGCACAGAACAGTATGTAATGATGAAAACCAATGCCCAAATCATCGATCAATACAGCCATGGACCAAAATTATGAATCTGTAAATGTATAACATGATCTACTTACTTTTAACATGAATTGAGAGACCACTTGGTAAAACAACTACATTTGATGAAGGACTAGTTGGTCTGGGTGATTTGATATTAGATGTTGTACTGTTAGAATTGCTCGTTGTTGTAGTGGCTGTGCTACCGCTGGATCCTATAACTATAAAAAAAACATTTACAGAGCAAAATTTGAATCTTATTTGGAAAACTCCATGCAGTAGTAGATTACAATTTTTATGCTTTTAAATACATTGCATTTCAGCCTCAGACAGGCAGTAAATAATTCTTTTAATGAGTCAAATACAGATTACGTGTTTACTATTGAAGTTGTGAAGTCCAGAGTTTTAAAGATCAAGTCAACAAATTCAAAAACAGTAGCCAATCAACATAAATATGCTCACCCTATAACCAAGCAAAATATCGAGCAATAGTGAAGTGCCATTACCATAGCAACCAATGGAAACAAATAATCTGAACTTCAAAATGCTAGCCAATCTCTTGATTGATTTAGCATAAAAATTCAAATCCAGATTTACTCAAAAGATGCTCACTAAAACAACGTACTTCCTTGGATTCAATTCAGGTATTATTTAGGGTAGAATAAAGTCAGGAGTACTCACTACTTTTAAACCCTGTATCGGACGGCAATGGAAGTGTCATATTGTGTAACATAGCTGAATTGGCTGCGTTATGTGCAGTCACAGTAAACGCTGTCTGTGGTACGAGTCTTGGCATTAATGGTACAAGTCGTCTACCTTCTATTCCCCACTGAATACAATTATTGGGACCTGACAAACTGTGAATCAAGAAAACGAGTCAGAAATGTATGTAAAACTATGAAGGTCAAAGTGTAATGAAATACTGTATTTTCAGATATATCAATTAAAAGGTAAATTGTAATGTTAAAGGTTTTATGCATAGCATTTCACTGCTTTCCAGAATTTCAGGGAAAGAGGAGGGGGAATGTACAAAAGATGGAACATTCTTTACTTTGACCTTAATTAAAGTGACATAGCCATCTTACCATGTTGTGTGATATGGGTCCCATGCAACATAAATGATGAAACAAGACACACCGATATGACAAACATTTTAAATGACAGGCTACGCAAATTTTATTATAATTAGGCATCAGGCTTGTAATGTCTGAATCTTTCCAGCCACTTGAGTTTTGGCAAAATTATATTATATTATCTACTCAATAACATAATATTCAATGAATGAGCAAACAGTGATAAAATGTTTCTTACTGGTCTGCAATGGTAGTAAGCTTTTCATCATTCACAGCTCTTCTGACCTCGGCTCGGTGCCTTTCTGTGGATATGCTGGAACGTTAATTAAAAAAATAAACATTAATAACTAGCAAGTCTAGTGTGTATATCTGACGACACAAATGATGATGTCAAAATAAGTGAAAGTTTTATTTTCTAAGGATTCAGTATACAATATATACACCTGTTATATGTGCTTATATTAGAGGCGTGCTGCACATGGAGGAACAGTAAAATTTTGTTTCAATATTTCACACTTACCTGAGCATATTTCCCATGTCAGTCAATAACTTCTTCTTTTCTTTTGATAGGTCACCTTGAGCCCTGAACGCACTCACCATAGAGGCATAGGACTCAAGTTCCATCCTCCGCAATGTGCGTTTACACTCATCTCGACTCATGTCAAGCAGCTTCGGCCACATCTTGCTATAGTCTTGTCAACGTTGTTTTATATAAATACTAAATAGAAAATCAAAATCACACGTCTATAATACTACATATTTACACGGACTAATATGTGCTCACCATAGTACTGGCTACTATTTGTCAAAAGAGATGAAATATTGTCTGAACTCATTAGAGTTCACACTGATATTGAAAAACATGGTTAATTCAAGTTCAAGTCAGATAAAAAGATGAAATTCTCACTTTTCTGAATACAGTTTGATTCTGCGACAATTAGGGTATTTTCAAACTTCTCGGGGACCACATTCAAATTGGTTGTTGTCCGGTTGCCCTGGGCAACCCTTTTCTATATAAGACAACCAGATCTTGAAACTGGTAACCCATTGGGACAATCAAGTTTTTTCTTTTGAATGTTTCTTTTTTTAAGATACTGTAAAACCATTTATTTTCACTGACATTTTATTTCACTATTTTGATGTTTCAAGCATATTTATTCACCATTTTAATTTCATGAATTTGTCAAGAAAACAATAAGTTCTATGAATACGTAGGATTTTTTTTCTGTGTTTTTCCAAAAACGGAATACATTTACTAGGTCCTGACTTTATATGGGAGCCACAGTAGTGTGCTGAATTTGGAGTATAAAAAATGTATAATGCTGTGGATCCTAATGGCTCATCGGGGGAAATTCAATCTATTATGCACCATGTACTACAATATATATTGTAGTAACAAAACCAAACTACAACAAATAACATCATAATGTAACACTGCAGCACAGCCATACATGTACAGGTCCAATTGTATAGTCGCAATTCAACAACATTTGAGTCAACCACGGAACTATATTGATTTTAATTGACTGAAACCGACCATTATCAGCCTGCCTATGTAGTGCATTGTAATGGACCATGCTGACCACAGGGGCTTGACGATCTATTCGTCTCAATGCGTGGACGTCTATGGGGCCGTGGGACTATGTCCCGGTACAGGACCTTGCCCTTGCTCAAAATATTAGAAATTATGGAATTAAAACAGTTAAAGTGCCTGTGAAATGGCTGCTATTTTCACGCCTAAAATTATCCATTGATACATAAATATTATTAATTTTTATGTTTCTAAGCATAAATAATTTTTTTAAGTGAAAAAATGTGTTTTTAACTCAGTCTACAGAAACTTTATTTTTGTGTATTGTAAAACGAGGCTCCTCATTTGCATACAGAAATTCCCCTTGTGACGTCAGAAGGGGAAGCCGCTGGGCAGCTTGCATTGCCGATACGTGTAAATAAGGCAAATTTCTTGTGCTGTTTTCTCGTCTTTGACTAAATTGCCACTTATGTACTTGTTCGTCGAGGAAGAATGGACCATAATAAACAGATAGTATCAAGTTTGTTGCATGGGGTTGAGTCAGATGCGACATATGTCCGGTCTGGTGTCGCTAGTCACCGTGGTCGTCACCGTCACCGGAGCACGTTTGTACACTGTCGCTGGACTCCGGCATTGGACAAAATCGAATTTGACGGCTGAATCGTCTTGTTATTTAGCAGGTTACTAGACACTATTGATTTATAAAATAGAGAAATAATTTAAAAAAACGACAAAACACAGTTACTAAATAAATGACTGCTGCGTTGTAATAGGGTGAACGCGTCCGGTCATGAGGGGGACAAGTGCATGAATGGCGGCGTTTAATTCGATAACAAAAATTATTGAGAGCGACTCACATACA